CCGATCCTGGTCAGGGAAGGGAGGAGCGCAGGAGTTATATCCGCCGAGAGGAACAAGGAGAGGAGGTGCAAAACTAAAGACCTTCCTCGGGTATCGAGCACGCCCGCGCGCGCGTGCGCGCAGACGTACGTATTTGATGGCTCCACGGGCCTATTCCAAACCAGCCTACCGCAACTGGGGTCGCCGCGGGCGCGTCTGACGCGCCCGCTACTGCGACGAAGCTTTGCCATCGCGTGCTAGCTGTCCCCCAACGCGGCATGTACTTCGCCGCCTGTTAGCGAGGCGTCACGCCTGAATTGGCTGCGCCGGAGATGGGTCCCTGGCTTCCCGAAGATCTGGACAAAGTTGGCGGAGAGGGAGAACCTCTCCCACCGCCAGCACTCCACAAGCTCACCGCCAGCCACGCTGAATCCCCCCCGAGACCGCTGCACTTTGAATGCGGCATGCCAGCTTGCTGACTGTCCGCGGCGCCGTCTGCCAGCTCGAAGAGAAGCAGGAGACAATGCGGCAAAACGCCTGTGGCCCAATCTGGTAAATCTCTTGTGGGCGAGTTCTGGATGGAAACTGGGAAAAACGCAAACTTAAACAACTTGCACTGGCCCCGCGCAACGATGGACTCGCAAGGCCGCGCTCGCGGTGAAGCGAGTGAGGCAAGGGACCCAGTGGCCAAACCGACCCTGGGTTTATTGAGAATCCTACAGGAACAAACCCAGACCGACAAAAGACAAAACCAAACGCACCTGGACACCCCAGGCACACCTTAAACACACGCCGAGACACACCCAGACACACTCCAGACACAGCCCCCAGACACACCCCAGACACACCCCAGGCACACCCCAGGCACGCCCAGACACACCCCAGACACACCCCAGACACACCCCAGGCACACCCCAGACACACCCCAGACACACCCAGACACACCCCAGACACACCCCAGACACACCCCAGACACACCTAGACACACCCAGACACATCCAGACACACCCAGACACACCCCAGACACACCTCAGACACCACACCCAGACACACCCAGCCACACCCCAGACACACCCCAGACACACCCCAGACACACCCCAGACACACCCAGACACATCCAGACACCCCCCAGACAATCCAGACACCCAGACACACCCCAGACACACCCCAGACACACCCCAGGCACACCCCAGACACACCCCAGACACACCTAGACACAACCAGACATACCCAGACACACCCCAGACACACCACCCAGGCACACCCAGACACACCCAGACACACGCCAGACACACTCCAGACACACCCCAGACACACCCAGACACACCCGGGACACACCCAGACACACCCCAGGCACACCCAGACGCATCCCAAACACACCCTAGAAACACCCAAACACGCCCCAACACACACCCAGACACCACCAGACACACTACAGACACATTGCAGACACACCCAGACACACAGAAGACACACCCCAGACACACCCAGACACACCCAGACACACCCCAGACACACCCCAGACACACCCCAGACACACCCCAGACGCACCCAGACACACCCCACACCCCAGACACACCCAGACACACCCACACACACCCCAGACACACCAAGACACAACCAGACACACCCCAGACACACCCCAGACACACCCGATAACCCCCCAGACACACCCAGACACGCCCCAGACACACCCCAGACACACCCAGACACGCCCAGACACACCCCAAACACGCCCCAGACACACCCCAGACACACCTCGACACACCCAGACACACCCCAGACACACCCAGACACACCCCAGATATACCCAGACACACCCCAGTCACAACCAGATAAGCCCAGACACACCCCAGACACAACTCAGACACACCCAAACACAACACAAACACACCCCAGACACGCCCCGACATGTCGATCACGAGGTTTTCGGCGATTCTGGCTACGAGGACTCCGACTCAAATTCCGACGTCTCTGACCCCAACGCCGACGACGGTTCCGATGACTATGACGAGTTGTACTCCGACGGCGACGGCTCCGACGATGACTACGAGGACCGTCAGACCGCACTAGGCGTTTACAACCCTTCTTCACTCTACGGCCGCAATCCCACAGGCGCCATGCCCTCAAGAAATTGTAGCTTGGCTTCCGCAAACGGGCCGGTGTAGACAAATAGAAGCGCATGTGTCTACACCAGAAAAAATGTGTCTACACGTACGCTGGCTTTCAACATTATAAGGTTTTTGGCGTGCGCCGGTGAACACCTTGGAACGCACCCTGGCCTCAAAAACGTATGTCGTACAAGTGTGGTTCCTGTGCGTCGCAGCCCTGGGATGTTGCTGTGTACGCATGCATACAGCGGTGAAGTGTGACCGAATTTTGAGCTAGGGTACATGGAAAAAACAACAAAGAATCGAGAACCGTGCGAAAGAGACACACCCATGACACACCACAGACGCACACAAGCTCGCCAGCAGACACGTCCCAGACACATCCCCAGACACACCCCAAGCACACCTCAGACACGCACCCCAGGCACACCCAGACACACCCCAAGCACACCCCAGACACATCCAGACACATCAGCAACACACCCAGACGCACCCCAGACACACCCTAGGCACACCCAAACACACCCCATACACATCCGAGGCAAACTCAGACACACCCCAGACACAGCCGAACACACCCCAGACAAACTCCAGACACACCCCAGACACACCACCCAGGCACACCCCAGACACACCCAGAAACACCCCAGACACACTCCAGACACACCCCAGACACACCCAGACACATCCCAGACACACCCAGACACACCCCAGACACACCCCAGACACACTCAGACACACCCCAGATACACGACAGAGACGCGCCAGACTTACACCCAGACACACCCCAGACACACCCCGGACACACCCCAGACACACCCCAGACACACCCCAGACGCACGCCAGACTCACGCCAGACACGCACCTCAGACACGCACCTCAGGCACGTACCCCAGACACGCCCAGACACACCCCAGACACACCCCAGACACACCCCAGACACACCCCAGACACACCCACCCAGGCACACCCAAGACACACTCCAGACACACCCAGACACACCCCAGACACACCCCGACACACTCCAGACACCTCACGTACAGACACATACCGACACACCCAGACACACCCCAGACACGCCCCAGACACAACTCAGACACACCCCAGACACGCCCCAAACACACCCCAGACACATCCCCGACACACCCCAGACACATCCAGACACACCCCAGACACACCCAGACACACCCCAGACACACCCCAATTACACACAGACGCACCAAACATGACGAATCCAAAGACCCCGGCGGCTTTGGCTCCGACTATGCCGTCTGCAAATCCGGCGACTCTGACTCTGACACCGACAATTACGATTCCGACTCCTACTTCGACAGCAAGAGCGACCGGGAAGCCGTTGATCTCCTTGTCGCGTCCCTACACCCTTCCGCTATCACGTTCCCTTCGTCCTCCGTCATATTTCCCTGCCTCTGTCGTCCCTTTTTCTCTTTCACCCCTCCTACTTCATCTCTTTCTCTCTCTTTCCCAACACGTCCGCCTACCACCCCAGGTCCATCATCAGCTCCCCTTCCCACCCCCTTCACCGTTTGTCCATCCTCCGCCACCCATGTCCTCCTAGCTCCCCCATCCTCTCTTCCTGCCTCTTCCTGCCACACCATGGACCAGCGACCGCACAAGAGTGGAAACCATAAAGGAAGAGGCCCCTGGGGGTCCTACTTCGGGCCCAAACTCTCCCGCCAGCGATTAACAACCCCATCCCTGCTTGTCCACATGATCATGGATACGGATGTACAGTCGCAGTCTAAACCCGAACAGTCCTGAGACAAACAGGTCAGTGATACTGGGTAGGAAAGGACATTCATGAGCTTGGCCTCCCAGGGCCGTCTTGGAGGGCCTCCCGGGGCATTCTCGGGGCGTTTTGAAGGCACTTTGGGCCGCTGGGGGCGCCGGTTTTGAAGGGAGATGGCAGCGCGCGCTCTGCACGCGCCAGGCAAGACACGAATTCTTGGGCAAGACACTGTTGGCAGCACCTGCTCTTCTGTTGGCTAATCCTCGGCTGCCGCCCGATAGTCCTCGGCCGCCGCCCAGCACGTACTTGGAAACGACATGTGATTATGACGCGTTTGAGCACAATGGCAAAATAAGGCCCTTAGAGGTCAATCGGCAACGAGTGACGCATAAACACACGTGACACACGCACTATCTCACACCCGTGCAACTTTATCACGAGCTAGCCGGCAGACCACGAAGTACCGCTGGTCTCCGTAAACCTCTAGGGGCAGTGACAGGAGTATCCCCAAATTGGGATTGCTCAAATAAAAACAGTCAGGGCATCAGTTCACTTACTTCCCCGCTGGGATAGCGTTCATTCTGGGCATCGCCAATTGCCTTTTTTTGCCGTCTTCAAGGTAGATTCCGGGTCTGGAGTCACATCGTACGAACTTGTACGTAAGACCTTAACCAGAGAATATGTAGGCACATTCTTCGCAAGGCAATGTACAACCATAATGCCTGTGACACTCCACCAGATCTTATCACAAAACTGCGCGGAAGAACGATCTCTACTTCTTCCGTTCCGTTCGTCCAAATACAAATCGATACTCAAGCTCTTTTCTTCTGTCTCACCCATAGTTGGTGCTATGAGATGTTCTTCGAAACTTGCACACTCCGTCATCCACAAGACTCTCATAGACATGGCTGGTGTATCTTCCCAGTTGGTTGGTGGCTTTTTTCCTGTACCAAGCACACCTCGCGCATCTGCGATGGCGGCACGACTGCGCACACCAGATTCTGCAACCCAGAAGCAAGCCAGGGTGATCGCCCGACCCTTAAAAAAAACAGCCCCACGCCGAGGAGGGAGGACGTCGACGAGGGCGAGCGGCGGCGGCAGGACGAGACTGGGGGGAGGGGCGGCGCCGGCCGGGGAGGGCCGCAGGGAGGGGGGGGGCGCGCCAGTTCCAGACGGTGCCCAGGAAGATCGTGTTCGGCGCCTGCTTGTCGCTCTTTCCGTCTCCACGTGTCTGTCTGTCGTTCTCCCCTCTATTTCGCTCTCTCTCTCTCTCTATCTCTGTTCTCTCTCTCTCTCTCTTTCTCTCTCTCTCTTCGCTATCACTCTCTCTCTCTCTCTTTTTGGTGTCTCTCTCTCTCTCTCTCCTTTCCTTTTTTTTTCTCTCTCTCTCTCTCTCTCTCTTTCTCTCTCTCTCTCTCTCTCTCTTTCTCTCTCTCTCTCTCTCTCTCTTGGCGGCGCGCACAAATGGGGTATGGTGGAGGGGGGGAGGCTTCTTTGAAGGAGACTGCTTCTTAGAAGGCACCAGTCTTACATCTACAGCATTCTAAGAAGCAGGGGTGCTTCTGAGAAGCCTTCCCCCCATCTCCCCTTACCCCCCATCTGCGCGTGGCAAACTCTCCCCTGTGGTCTCTCTCTCGCGCTCTCTCTCTCTCTCTCTCTCTCCAAACCTCCTCGCGCTGCGAAGCACCAGAGGACCATGCTGGGCCCTGGGCCGGCAACGAAGCGGCCGTAGGCGTCGTGGAGCGGATCCCTATCCCTGAAGGGCGTGGCCTAGGCCCCGCGGGCCGATCTGCCCCTCTGGATGGGGAGAGCGGCTGTCCCCCTCGAGTCTCGAAGGACACCTCCCCTACGGCCCCTACGGAGGTGGTGGGATGGTGGGGATCGGGATGGGGACGGGGCTCGTCGGCGGCGCGCCCGGGGGCAGAGTGAGAAGGGGCGGGCCTTGCCAGACGGCTCGGCAAACCCCCGGCCTGCTGAGAAGCTTCCTGCGCTTCGCCCGCCACCGCGTCGGAATCATACCGCGGCCCCTCTCCCTCCCTCCTACCCTGCCCCTCCACACCCCTCCCCCATCGCACACCTGCTCCTCGTCTCGGACTCCGCCTCCCCCTGCTTCCCCTGCGCACCTGCTCCTGCAGGGACTCCTCCGGGGTGCGGGCCCGCCTCCCGCCGCGCGCTGGCGCCGAGACAGCACGCTGGCCATCGCTCGGACGTCCATTCCCTGTGCTTTTTTCGGTTTCGTGCGTGGTTTTTTCGCCAAATGATCCAGGATGCTCCTCGATGGTCCTCGCCGAAGGAAAAATTCACACGTCCGAGCGATGCCAAGCACGTTGCACTTTGGTTCACAAGGCTTCGGCCGCGTGCCAGCTCTCCGCGGCCTGGCGCTTCCTGTGCGCCCTGCCAGGCGTGGGACGCACCTCAAGCTGCTGAAAGCATTACTCAGGAGCTGGGCCACGGTCGGGCTGGGCGTCTTCCCCTCGCTGGCCACTCGCGTCAAGCAGCGCCGGCTCCAGCAGCGCGGACTCCAGCAGCGCGGACTCCAGCAGCCGTGCTGGAGGCTGACCTCCCATCTCCGCGCCGGCACGTCCGACAAGCATGTGCCCGCCCAGCTCCTACATCGTGGGCGAATCGAGCCACCCCTCCTCCTCGCGATGCTCGTGGCACGCCCGCTCCCATTCATCTTGGACGCCCGACATGGGTACGGGAAGAATGGGTACAATGCCCAACAACAAATCTTGTCCCAAACCAGCAGCGGCCGCCGTTGGGCAGGCGGCCTTCTGTCTCGAACGGACACAGGCCGCGGCGGCGTGGACAGCGATCCGCTGCTGGGCACTCTGCCCCTTCTTCTTCTTCCCGTGCCCCTCTCGCTCGTGCAGCTCCATGCCTCCTCGGAGACGACGGAGCGCGGTCGGGAGCCCCCGGCGGCTTCGCCAGCGCCTCCGGCGGCCTCGCCCAGCTCGGCTGCACGTAAGAGTGACCCTGAGCAAGAGTGACCTTTGGTGCGCGGCTTTTTGGGGGGGCGCGAGGCAGGAGGCCAAACACAGGTGCGCAGGGCGCTACTACCGCAACGAGCGCGGCGATCGGGGGACCCCAGTGAGCGCGCACCAAAGGTCACTCCGGCGAAGGGTCACTCTTACGTGTAGTCGACAAGCGCTCGGCAGCCCGGTCCAAGACAGCCCCCGGCGCGCGCCGGGCGTGGCGCAGCCGCCTCCCCGGCTCGAGGAGAAACCGCGCGCAGCCCCTCGACCGCCGCAGCGCGGAGTGGCCGCGCCGGGAGGCGAGGAAGGAGGCACGAGGAGCGGAGGGGCCGAGATATTTGACGAACGAGCAACACACACACACACACACCCATACCCATTGGGGGGGTCGTGGAGAGGAGGACTGGCTATGGGTATGGGTGCGGGTTCTCGGACCCTGGGGAACGCTCCCGTTCGAGCGGAGACCCCCATCCGACAACACGCACCCATAGCCCTCTCCGACCCCCCTATGGGTATGGGTGTGTGTTGCTGGTTCGTCAGATTCTGCTGGAGTCGGCTGCAGAGCCCCCGCTTGCCGTCGCTCGGGCGCCCAACTTCCCGTGCATGTTTTGTTCGGGTTTCGTGCGTGTGTTTTGTTGCCCCCTTCCCCCCCCTGTCGATCAAAGCTGTGCGCGGACCGCTGAGCTTCGACCGGAAGAGGTGCGCTCTCGACCCGCGGATCAAACAGGTATTTGCTGCTCGAGGGTCCAGGATGGTCCTCGATGGGTCCTCGCCGAGGACAAATGCACACGCCCGAGCGATGGCCCCCGGGGCGCCACGTCGCTCTCCGTCCCTGCCGCCGCTGCCAGCACCCCCCGCCCTGCACGCGGCCGCTGCCACCTCCGCCGCCGGAGGCCGACTCGGCACGGAGGCGAGCCGAGGCGGCACGCAGCACGGCGGGGCCGTCGGCGGAGGCAGGCGGGGCCGCCTGGTCCTCCAGGCGGAGGGCACGAGGAGGGAGGGAGAGAATGACGCGAGAGGAGCAGCAGCCTCGTGATCAGAGCAAAGACCCATCATGTGAGGACTGGGAGCAAGTGGCGCAAACCCTTCTTCGCCTCGTCCTCCTCCTCCTCCTTATCCTCCTCCTTATCCTCCTCCTCCTCCTCCGCCTCCTCCTCCTCCTCCTCCTCCTCCTCCTCCTCCTCCCTCCTCCCTCCCTCCCGCCCTCCCTCCTCCCTCCTCCCATCGCTCTGGTACCCGACGCACCGGGCCGTTGCTTGCGCAAGTGACCGCTTTGTTGGATGTGCCATCCGATCCACGAATCACAGCCTCCAGGACTTTCGTTCGGGTTCCCCCTGAGCTGTTCCATGACACTGCTCATGCTTATTGGTGTCGAGCGGATGCTCTCCAGACCTGCGCATCATGACCTTGCACAAAAATTCCTGATGGCGTTGTACTTGTTCACGTCGTTCTGCCCTTCTTCCTCTTCCTCCCTCCCCCCTCCTCCTGGCTGACTGGCTTATGTCTATAGTTTCCGTGATGTAGTTCCTGAGCTGGGCATTGTTCTTTCTTTGAGCTTCGCGCATTCCGCCGCCCTCTTGAATCGGTGATTTGGGCTGCCTGGGAGCTCAAGATCTGGCCTCCCTTAGATGGGGAGGGCGGCGGGCAAAATTGAACAAGAGTTCCCCCCCTCACACTCTGGGCGTGCGTCACCTGCGAAGGCACAGCGACCGCGCTAACGCCATGTCCGACCGACCTCGTTCCTCCCTCTTCCCTCCTCCTCCTCCTCCTTTTCTCCCCTCATCGCTCCTCCTTCCTCCTACTCCTCCTCCTTCCCCTCCTCCTTCTCCTCTCCAACCATCCCCCTTCCCTCCGCTTGCTCCTCCGCCTGCTGCTCCTCCTGAACCTCCTTCGTCCTCTTCCTCCTCCTCCTCCTCCTCCTCTTCCTCCTCCCCCCCCCGGCCCTCACCCATCACCCTGCTACTGCTCCACCTCGCCCCTCACCCTCTCGCCTCCTGTGAAGGCCGTCTCGGCCGCAGCGTCCCCGTCCAGACCTCCCGACACCGCGGCCGCCGCGCACCTCCGGGATGCGCGTGATGCGGGCCATGTCGATGTGCTCGGCATCGTGGCCCCTGACGCGGGGGGGTGGGCGGAGACGTCCCCTCTGCACAGTGCGGACGCGGCCGCAAGGAACCCCCGCAAGACCCCCCCGGCCCGGAATGTCCGCGCGCGAGGTGCGACTGGGGGGAAACTGAAGGCGCCCTGAGCGCAGCAGTTCCTCAACGCCTGCGGGAAGTCACCGCGCATCAGCATCAGCATCAGCATCATCATCATAATGGTCGTGATGCTGCGCATGCGTCCCGGTAAGTGTTTTGGCGTGTCGTCGTCGCTGTTTTGTCCGAAGAGGTTCACTGAAGATTTCCGTTTTGCTCGCCGTTTGTTTGTTGGGCTGCATCCTGACGAACAGCGTGTCCTGACGAACAGCGTGCCTCGAGAACCACGGCAGCGCTTCTTGGTGCACGTCCCCTAGGGGTTGCGCGCTCCGCGCGGCTGCCCGAGCCCGACTCAATGTTTGGGGAGATCAACGCCGCGAAGCAACATAACTGTTGCACCCGCATGCTCCAGATTTCGTAATAAAGGGATGGGGGTCTCGTTTCGGGGGGGGTCTCTTCCAGGCTATCTTGGAGGGCCTGGGGGGGTCTGGGGACGATGCTTTGGAGGGTTCTCCCACGGGGGGGGTCTAAAACTTCTCGTCTGGGAGGGTCCAGACCCCCTCCCTTTTATTACTAAATCTGGAGTAATCCTGGAATCCTTCCCAGACACCATTTCTGGTACGCTGATCCTGGGAATCCGAAAACAACTCGCCCAAACTTCACGAACGAATGTGCGAGGCGCCAAGGCGAGGGCCACATGTTGAAAATGTGGCTCTCGGGCCCGGCCCGCCCTGAAACCTGGCTTCGGGGAGTCACAGTCTGAAAAACACCAGCCCTCAACCCGTGCAACTCTTGCAAATTGTAAAAACGAAATGTGCGCAGCGCTAAGGTGAGAGCCACATTGTGAAAAGGGACCGCCCTCAATTTGTGAAGCTCTCGCAAATGTTTGAAACTAATGCGCGCGGCGCTAAGGCGAGAGCCACATTTTGCAAATCACCCGCCCTCCATCTGTGAGGTTGTTACCACTTCTTAAGCTTCAGAATCATCGATGGTGAGGAAGCCTCAGGCGAACCGCCCGGCCCGCCCTAAAACCTGGCCTCGGGGTGCGACAGGGAGGAATTATTAGTAAGGAAAGAATGGAGCAGGAGAAGGGGGAGGAGGCGGAGGAGGGGGTGGCCCAGCATCACTACACCCCTGCTGAGAGTTCAAAAGAGTTTAGGATAAGAAGATGGCCTTCGCTCCTAGCGGTTCCTCAAGCAGGAGTCCAGGTCCAGACATACGATCATTCCACGAAGAAGCGGAGCCCCAAGAAAATGCCCAGGGTCCAGTCCAGATCCATGATTTTCTTGGGCGGACTTGGAAATTGCTACGCTTTCTCAAAATTTGTGATGGGTGTACAATCAGCCCGTGTCACAAGGATGCGCGACAAGGATGCAAGGGCCTTGAAGCTCATTTCGAGGCTTCTCGAGCGGGGCGCGGCCAACGAAAGTGGCCAAGGATGGACCGAGGAGGGAAGGATGCAAGGGCACCCTTGGGAAGGCTGCCCATCCTTACTACTGCTGGTTGACTCCATTCCTCCTCCCTTCGGCCAGGTCGCGTCGAGAAGGCAGGGGGCCAGGCGAGGACCTGGACCACAACCTCACGCATCTCCAAAGGAAGCTCGCCGCCTCCCAGGAGCACGCCTGGCCTCGAGTCGGGCGGGCGGCAATGGGGGGTGACCAAAACGGGGGGCAAAGGAAAGGGCCCTCGAAGGGGCCCTGTAGGTGTCCTTTTGGGCTCCAGCTTGCTCCAAAAGGGGTCCTAAAGGGCCCTTCAGGGTCCTCACCCCCCATTAAGGTCACCCCTCACTACCAGCCGCCCGACTCGAGTGCGACCATCTCCTCCCGTCCCTCTCTTCCTCACGTCCTCTTGGCATCCCCTCTTCCCCGATAGCTGCTTCCTTGGCCCAGTGGGGCAGTTCTGGAGCTGGCAGGCTCCAGTGGGAGTCGGAGCTCCCAATCAACGGGTGACAGCACCCATCCTTCCTTTTCAGGTGGCGGGTGGGCCGGCTGCCAAACAAAGCGCACTGCAACCTCTGGGCGTTGCTCCATGGGGGGCAGCAAAAAGAGGGGGAGGGGGCGACGAAGTGTGTATCCTTCGTGCCCCTTGTGGGCCCCTTTGGGGCCCTTACGGTGCACAAAAGGTGCACCTGTCTTCACTCTCCCTCTATTTTATCACTCCGCCCTTACGCGACGCCTGACATCCCTCCCTCCCCTCCTCCACTTCCGATCGACCTCCCTTGTTGCCTGCCTTCCCTCCCAGCGCCGGCCCCGATCTGCTTCGGCCGCTCCGCGAAGAGAGACGGGGGAAAGCGGCGGGGGCGCTTATACGTGTGGTAGCCCTTGCGCTGCAGGTCCTCCACGAGGGACTCGTCGATGAAGCCGACGAGGATCCTGCTCGCAGGGGCTCACTGGGGCGAAGGATGTGCTGTTTCTCGATTGAGACGAGCCTGCACGCCTGCACGTCAGGCTGCTCCCTCCCACGCACAAGAGGGCTCCCCGTTCAAAACAAGACGGGCTTGACTCGACGCGGACAGGTTCAAGGTGAAGCGAGGAGGGCGAAGGGCAGGGACATCTGCCGACCCCCGATTGCTGGCGGTGAAACGGCGTGTGTGAGACGTTTGGCTGCCCCCCTCCCCCGATCCAACGGGGGGAGGGGGGGGGAAAGCTCCTCGACGCACCACAGGGGCTCTCCGGAGCCTCCAGGGAGCGCCAAAACAGCTCAAAAGGCCCAGACAGAGCGCCAAGACAATCCAAAAGAGCGTCGAGACGGCCCCGGTAACCCCGCGACGATCCACGATGGCTTGAAGGCAGCCCACGAAGCACCCAGAACGGCTCATGAGCGCTCTCAGAGGACCGCCGAGAGGGCCACAAGACGCAACATCCGCCCCACTCCCTCAACAAAACGAATATTTATTCGCCATCCGACAGGTTGGGATCGTTAGATAAAAAAACAGACCCCCTGGCCCGCCCGCCCTGTATATCGCGGCCGCCAGATCCCCAGGCTCGCGATAATTCCTGGTGGTTCCAGCCCCCCCCCGCCCTGCATACCGCGGCCGCCAAATCCCCATGCTCCCAGAAATCGATGGTGGACCCGCCCCCCGCGCCGACTCGCCCACTCTGCGTACTGCGGCCGCCAGATCCCCAGGTTCCCCACTGAACAGAGCATAACACCACGCCGCCAAACAGAACAGATCCAAGCATAACATACCATGCCATGGCAGACCATATCGTAACATAACACACCATGACAGAGCAGTGCATACTATAGCACAGCATCGCAACACATAGCATTCCATAACATGACAAATCAAGCATACCATCACACATCAATGCATAACTGAACATACCAAAACGGGACAGACCACACCATCACATAACACGGCATATCATATCATGGCACAACACAACATGAGAACGCATGCAATGACAGGCTGGAGCATACATAACATAACCTAGCAGAACAAGCATGACATAGCATAACATAACACGACATAACATAGCATGACAACATATCGCATGACAAAAGAAGCCACTACATAACACAGCATCGCCACGTTTATCCAGGGCAAAGCATACCATGCCAGAGCGCGGCATACTATGCAACATCAAAGCAACACATAGCATAGCAGAACACGACACGCTCAGACACAGAGGGTCACGCAGACAACAACAGAACACCACACCTCACAACACAACATAAAGCAACATTGGGTGACACATAACGACAGAACAGCTCATACCCATACCTTGGCAGGCCAGAGCACACCGAAACACAGTATCACAACACAGAATAGTCCATGACATGACACATCATAATCTAACAACATGCTGCATAACACCATATAGCATAACATGACATATTCCGTCATACGACCATCGCATAACAAAGCATACCATGCCATACCATGTGAAAAAAGCATCACAGGACACACCGTAACAACGCATGCAACAACCACAACGGAGCACACAGAGCATGCCATGGCAGCATACATCACAACAAACAAGAAAGGACAGACAGACCATACCAAAGCATAAGATAATACACCATTCCATGTCGCACACTGTCATAACATATCATGCCATGACGCAGGATCACGGCATCGCATAACATGGCAGAGCATACCGTCATGGACATCGGTCTCGCACCACGCCTTTCGGGGGTTTGCTTTTCGCCCCAGAACTTGTGATCGGTTTCATTCGTCAGGGGCTCTGGGTGTGTATGGGGTTAGAGTACAAAGGTACAGAACCCCTGATTCGCTGGTAGAGGAAAGGAGGGAAAGATGGATATCTTTTCCTCCTGCACGATCAAAGGTCTGATCGATCTATTCCAATATCTGAGCCCAAACGGCCAGGCGCAGGAGAGGTGAGGATAAGGAGTATATATGAGGGTATTACACGGGTTCTATTCACACTGGGGCGTTGGACTTCAGGAGAACGGCAACTTGCGACATGGCCCGACCGCCGCACTGGCCGAAACCACCGCGCCCCGCGCTCATCGTTCCAATGGGCGCGCGCACCTTCGGGATCAAACGCCAAGGGTTTCGGTGGGGATCGCTCGAAGCAAAACAGATCATATGACACCGGAGGACAACCCAAATCAGCATGGCTTGGACATTAGAGATATGGATATTGAGATCGATAATGAAGCCGAATGTGAGATTGACAGTGAGATCGCTAGTGAGGACGATAGTAAGGTCGATCGTGAGAGCGATAGAAGTCGACTCAGTGAGATCGATCGTGAGATCGATCGTGCGATCGCTCGTGCGATCTATCGTGATATTGATTGTGATATCGATAGTGAGATCGATCGTGAGGTCGATAGTCAGATCGATAGAGAGGTGGGTACTGACATAGATGGTTAGACCGATCGATAAGGAGATCGACAAGAACCCGGGGACCCCGAAACCCGGGAACTCCGCCGCCCACCGAAATCGGCCCGGAACCAGCAACCGGGAATCCGGGAAACCGGGATCCTGGGAGCGCGGGAACCCAGCCGCCCACCGAAATCGGCCCAGCACTTTTGCCAACTCCTTCCATATCCGCCAGGAACCCTTCAGTGCGAACACTGATTGGGGAAGATGTGTATATATAAAAATATAAATATACATACAGGGCAGTTTTAAATACATCGGACTTTTCATAAAAAAATATGCAATTCAATGCATGATACATTTATGAATACATTCATGCATGAACTCATCGTTGTTTTGAATACTAGACCCCTGCATCTTTAATACATGATCCGCACGCGGAGCATGCATTCAAAACGGTACCGTCCATAGATATTATGCATGCTCGCCTTGCTCGTCTTGGCAGCGTCCAGTGTGGTCCAAGGGGCGCCCGAGTTCGCCCGAAGACGGCCCGTGCGGCACCCAAGAGGGCCCGAAGGCGGCCCAGTAGACAGCCCCCGAAGAGAGCCCAAGGGCGCCTCCAGGGCGACCCCAGGGGGAACCATAAGGCGGCCCACGAAGGCCCCAGGAGAGGCCAACGAGGGGCAACACGAACTGACATATCTCGAGTCTTTCCCCCCTCATGGCCCCAGCAGCCCTCCCCCCAGACTCCCGAGGCGCCCCCGAGAGGCCTCCAAGAGGCCCCCAAGAGGCCCCAGAGAGCATCTCAAAAGGCCCCCCCAGAGGACCCCCCCAAAGCCAACCAAATGTCTCCAAAATCTGATCTAAGGGGCCCCTGAGAATTGAACCCTCGCGACCGTGAACAAAGACATCCAGCCACTCCAGCTCCAGCATAGCCTGCCGAACGCCCTGGACGTATGTACTCCGCTTGAGGTCGGCGGAATGGCGCAAGCAAATTGGATCAGGAGGCATCGTGAATAGACAACCGATGCGCCAGAATCAAACTGTCAAGATCCAACACTACGCGGCGCAGAAATACATTGAACCTGTAACGCCACAACTTGTGAGACATCATCCTGATAGATTCGAAACCAATGGCAGTTTGGGTGGGACGGTATACGCTCGGAAGGCAGGTAATAGACACAATCGCTCGGAGGCACTGTCCGTCGGGCACCAGAGTAGAGCAATGTCAGCTGCATGCTAAGCGGCAATAACAAGACATATCACGCCATCAAGATCTGACCCAGCGCCAGCAAACACCCTCGCATTCAGGGGTCCAATATCAACGGCGATGGTACCGCCAGGCTGACTCATTCATAGCTCAAACATTAACACATCACTGGCTGGCCACATGAAGATAGCGGCGAAAGCCAAATCCGGGTAAGCGCAGCATGGCCCGTGCGAGGTGCAGTTCAGACCGAAGCCGGGGAGGATTTGTTCCAGAACGCGTGCAGAGCGGATGCTCTTCGGCGGCGGAGAGGCGCTGCCTGCACGCAAGCTATAACTCGACGTCAGTGCGGCACAAGCCGCATGCAAGCAGAGATCCCGCCCCACCCCCTCCCGCCCCCTTCCCTCCTCCGACCTTCCTCCTGCCCTTCCCCCCTCCTCCCCTCCCTCCTTCTCCCTCTCCCTCCTCGTCATCTCTTCCCACCGCCTCCCGCCTGGTCCTGTAGGGCGCGCCCCTGGCCAGGATCTCGAGGCGGGCCCGGCCGAGGGACCACGGGAAGCCTCCCGCAGGGCCCCGGGAAGGGCCGAGCAACGCCGAGCGACCTCGATCTCGATCGCTCTCCCGCTGCGGCCTCAAGAAACCTCACAGGGGGCCCAAGAGGCCTCTGAGGAGGCCCCAGAGGCATCTCAGGAGGCCCTAGAGGCCTCTCAGGAGGCCCAAGAGGCTTCTCTGGAGGCCCAAGAGGCTTCTCAGGAGGCCCAAGAGGCCTCCCAGGAGGCCAAAGAAGCCTCCCAGGAGGCCGAAGAGGCCTCCCAGGAGGCCCATGAAGGGAACTTTTTGCACGACGCGCCGCGGCGGCGGCCCCCGGCGACACGACGTGCCCCGCGGGCGCACGGCACGTCGCTCCGCTCCGCGCGAGGGGGGGGGGGCCTCGGAGAGAGAGAGGCTCGGGGCGCCGGCGCCGGGGAGCGGGGCAGGCGGTCGGAGGAGCCCTGCCGAGGCGTGGCGTGGCGGGCCAGGACCGGCGGCGCGGCACGCCGGTGAGGGGAAGCTGCTCGGGGCAGCTGCCCGGTCGGGCTCGAGCGTGTCCGCTGCCGCGCTGGCGCGCTGGCGGCGCGGGAGAGGGCACGAGCAGCGCCGTGCGCGCGGGTATCGCCACGCCTCCCGAGCTCCAGCGCCTCGGGCACGAGCGAAGGCGGAGCTGCCTTGCGCCATCCTCGGGCTCTGGGGTCTGTTTGTGAGCCCTGGGGCCACTGGGGGGCACGACTCGCGGTGAGAGGCTGGTCCTTGCAGGCACCAGCATGTGACCCCGACTCGTGCACTGGACGAGGGGGGTCCAGGGGACCCACGTTTAGAAATATCACGACGCTGTG